GGGATTAACAAACAATAGGTTAGAGTCGAGTTGAATTGGCAGAATTTTATTATATATTCTTTTTCTTTGAAATGGAAAACAGAATCGTGAATTAGGGACACACTTTTAGTATGTAAGGGATTCATATCGGGGTACGTGGTAGCGTAGCTGGTTGAGACATTATTCTACAAGTCCTAAGGTCGCGGGTTAGATTCCCGATGAGGTCATCGGATTTTTCCAATTGACCTAATCCTTCTAGCCTCATTATGGCCCTGGGGTTGAGTCAGCCTCTAACAGAAATGAGTACATGAGGGTGAGTAATGTTACTCAGACGGGATATACACGGCTGAGCCATTAGTACAGTACTTTTTTTTTCCCCTTGGCACTACAGCCCCAGTGGGCCTAGGTCTACCTCCATGAACTTCTCCGTTCACTCCGGTTTTTCTAGATCTTAGACATTCGGTAGGACTCCTTGGGCGGGTGATCAGCTCGTCGCAAGGCCTCTACCTGTAGACAAACACAGAAAAACGCACACAAACATCCATGCCCTGAGTGGGATTCGAACCCACGATCCCGGCTTCCGAGGAAATGAAGACAGTGCATGCCAGTACAGTACTTTAACCTAGTAAATTTGAGGTTGAATTTGTTGCTGGAAGTTTTAAAGAGCAAAAACTGTCAATTAAAGATCATATTCCAACAAGAATGATTCAAACAAGAGGTGAATCATTTCGTTCTTAGGCCCATAAACTCATTAATTCTATTTGGATTTGTTCTTTTACCTCTTCGAAATGAGACGATGAAACTGATTATAGTCATTATCGAGGTATATTAGTGAGAGAAAAGTAAAGTAAATCTGTCCCTGTAACAAGCCGTGAAGGCCCATAGGCTTGAGAGACGTTGAGGATCCCACATTATCTAGACAATCGGCTCAAAGATGGCGGTAAGGTTGTCAGTCTTACAAGCCGGCCGCGCTTTACTCCGCAAGAAAATTATTTAATTAATTCCTGGTACTTATTTCTAGAGGCTGAGTCGACCCAAGGGTCATAGTGCGGCCGGAAGAATTAGGTCAACTGAAGAAATACAATGACCTCATCGAGATTTAAACCAGCGACCTTCTGTGAGAGAAACCTTATTAAAAATTGTACTCGGCACTATTTTCTCAACGTTAACCAGAAGAAGTAACTGAGGATTTCAAGTAACAAATCAACTATTGATCAATTATTCTGGATTTGTAAAATACTGGAAAAAGAATAAGGGAATTTCGATGAGACAGTTTTGTGGGTTTCGGGTTTGGACAAATATTTATTGGATGATCACTCCTTACACCCACAAATACAATTATTCGCACTTGTAACGTCTTCGGACGTTTCCTCTTCCCTGTTATACACTCTCGCACCGCTAATGTCGGTGAAGTGTCTTCTACTCTGCTAGGAGCTCAACTGTCCTTAGCTCTTGTCGGATACGAACTCTGCTGCTCTCAAGTCAAAGTCAAATTCATATTGCGACCTACGGCCGGTCGGTCGGTCAGTAAGTCTTGGTGTCGAGCCCCATCTGGGGCCCATGACCAGATATTTGTTACTCTTTGACAGTTACAGTCTTGTTTTCGTGGGGCGCCCTCTCTGACGAGAGGAGGGGTCTGTCTTTTGTACATGCTGCTGGTCTTTGCTAGCGCAGTCTTTCTCGGGTCCGAGTCCCTTGGGACTCGTGACCATATTTTACTGTCTCAGATTTGAGACTCCCTTCTTCGTCGCCTCCTACGACTCGCTTCTGGTCTCTTGTCGGATACGAACTCTTATATCCTGCACTCGGACTGAATAGGGAATACCTTGTCGAAAGTTTAATTACGTCTGTTGCTATGCAATGAATCTCTTCTTGCCGCGGGAATACATTTCGTTACAAATAACGGTGGAAACCCCACTGTTTTTTTAAACTCGCTTATTGGGGGGTAGAGTCCAACTGGGTTCACTCGGCACGGCGGCCACTGATTGGCCTATTGTAGCCAGCCCCGGGTGATTATGATGATGGGGAATTTAGTGGAATGCAGATTGGCAGGGGAAACCGAAGTACTCGGAGAAAACCCGCCCCGGCGCCACTTTGTCCACCAAAAACCCCACTTGACCAGACCCGGGATTGAGAACCCTACTGTTAGAATTTCATCTGCCGGGAGATGATTTCCTAGGCATCGCTGAATAGGAATTGCTAGCCGTTGACTAGTGATGGACGTCTTATAGTCCGGCTTTCAAGCAGAACGTCATAATATGCTTCAAGAAAGGTTGTGTTTCAGCTAGGAAGGAAGTATTGTACAATATTCTCTTTGAGTATCTTATGCCCATGAAACTAGTTAGGCTAATTAAGACGCATTTAAGTGAAACTTAAAATAGGTAAAGGTAAGGTAAAGTTGTCCCATTACTTAACTAATTAAGCACTAAGTCGCGAAGACGTATGGGGGAGTGGATGAATAGAAAATCGCTACAATATAAACTCCATAAGTACACTCTATGGGCGAAATAAGGATATTTTAAATGTTAACGCAGGTGGTATACTCGTATATAGTAATCATTGTGCTTTATAGGGTAAAAGAAATGAAAATTCAAAATGGAGTTGTACTCAAGCAGGTGGGATGGTACCTTCTGCTGTAATGTTGCTATGTAACTGTACTGGCACAAACATCTCTTGCTTACGAATCATTAGCCTATACTTCCTCCATACCTCTGCCTTCTCTAAAGGTTACTTCGCCATTAACAAATGCGAAATGCAAGTCATATGCTTCATCAGCAAGCAGTTAATTAGGCAATTACGTGTATTTTTGTAAATGTCGGTTAATACCAAAGTAACAGCGTTTTGAAAAAATGTATTAAATCACCTATTAATAAACTAATTCCATGGAGCTGAGCCCTTCTTGTACAGCCACTATTTATTCATCTACTCACAAATTCGAAACATTTTATGGAACCCGAAATTTCATTACCTTGTTCACAAAAACCCACCATTGGTACCTATTCTGAGCCACAATAATCCTTGTCCATACTAACCCATTCTTATTTCTATAAGATCCGTTTTAATATTATCCACCCACCTATGTCTAGATCTTCCTACTGGTCTCGTTCCAAATCTCAAGTTCATTTTATTTAGCTTAATTTTTTTTTCCAAATAATCAAATTGTGCGAACAGGCGTAATATTTCGTATCAGACTATTTTAAGGGCGAGGAATTATCAGTCCCACGCCCAACCCCAAGCTGGAGTATGGCAACTTGTCGGTTATCCGCGACTGCTTATTCAATATATTCTTAGTTCCTTTCCATACCTGGAGGTCGTCTCCTCCATCCGTAAACTGAGGACACGCCATGCCGTGGTGACAATGGATCAACTTACATCTAGAGAAAATTAAGAATTCTTATCGCTATAAATCGATTCGATTCCTGGATTGCTCTAGTCATAACAGGTTTCCGACTTCGTGTTCAGGAACGCGATTGGGTCCGTTACATGAGAGACTGTTAGGAATTAAACCTCACTGAGCAACGTGGATATATATTCTGCAGAATTCGAACACGCGGTCACAGAGTTCGAATAACCTAAGACAACATGTGCTATCAACATCCGGGATTTGTAGTGAGAATACAGTATCATAAATCACAAAATAAACATTTACACTCTAGCTAAAGTAATAAAATTTCTATACGATAAATAATAACAAAAAAAAAAGACATTACGAGCCTACCAAACAACACGAAGGAAAAAGAATTCTGAAGTTCATGGTCACCCGGCAGGTCATTAAGAAAGCTTGTTCTGCAAAGTTCAAAGTATATATCAATGTTCCTTCTTCAGATAGTCTGTAAATCTCAGCTGTTCTGAAGGAAATTTATTTCGAGAAACCATTGTTCATTACAATGTTAAGAAAAGCCCGCAGTTGGCTAAGTTCCAAGTTAATTCAGCCTAGTTTGCATATTCTTAACTTAGTCCTCTGAGAGAAATTTTTATGTTACTCTCCAATCGTTACCTGCGGCTCTCAAATATTTTTAGCTGAGGTATTCTAATTAAAATTTTATGAGCATTTCTTCTTTCTCCACGCATGATTCATGTCCTTCTCATTATTCTTTCAACCTAATAATATTATGTGAATGAACAAATTATGACGTTACTTATTAAGCAGTTTTCATCTTCCTACTGTTACTTCATTTCCCCTACATTCAGTTACTTTCCCCCAACATCCAGTTACTTTCCTCAACATCCAGTTACTTTCCTCAACATCCAGTTACTTTCCTCAACATCCAGTTACTTTCCTCAACATCCTCTTCACAAAGTTCCTAAATTTATTCTCTGATTCTAAAAGGAGAAACGAAATTTCACACTCATGCCAAAAAACTAAAATTATAGTTTTTCCCGTTTTTAATCTCCAGGTTTCTGAAGCGGATACGAGAAGCAACAGATTCAGAACTGAATAATACTAACAGGAATTCCTTGCATTTAGTTCCATCTTAATTTAATCATGAATACAATTTTATTTATTCCCATCCGAACTGTTGCAATACCACTAAATTTTTCAAGGTTTTAGTATTATTACTTAGGATTCCCTTCCGTCACGTGTGCAAAATTATACGTTTAGATATTTTAATTTTCATGTCTTCAAAGACAAGACGAAATACGGATACTAAGTCGTGTGGTGATGAAATGTTCCCACTGGTGTCTGGTCTTATATCGCAAATACAGGTATCACTCGGCTTAGGTGACAGTTGCGTCCCCAAAAGTGGTCACATAACTAGAAATCTGTCTTATTATTTCAGATTCAATCACTTTAATTTTTTGTTTAAAAATCACAATTCAATTAACTTAAATACCATTCATTTTAGCCAGTTATGATGTTCTTTCATTGTAGACAAATAATTTCACTGTTTCAGTATTTACTAAAAAATTTAATTCATGTAATAATATTGAATGGCGGGATATTTATATAATTTCGATTTACCTCGTTCTCATGTACGTCGTTTCGTGACAACTGAACGTAATCTGAACCGAGTACTTACTAGTGTGAGAAATGTAGCGGGTTGCATGTCGGACGGGGAGGTCGTTTTGTCACCACCGCCACCACATGATCGCAGCTGGCTCCCTAGCACTTGCCACCGCACCACTACACAGTACACACTGGAGTGGTGCTGACAGCCTCCATCGCGCGGCGCCATGACAGCACGCGGCCACGCAGAGAGCATAGCAGAGCACTCAGCACATTTTTCTTACGTCATAATACGAGTATTAGAAATTATGCGGAGAGGGCGGAGGGAAATTGCAGTCTTAGCAGGGCAGGGGTACCTCCCGCAGCCCTTGAAGGTCGCCCTCACACTACCTGTTAGGGATGTCCAAAACATAATAAAGAAACTCGTATAAATGTCATTATTTTCTGTGTGACCCATTCAAGATTTTGGGAGAGACCACGTGAGGGACAAACGCATCGAATGGGAGGTAATACTATTTATTTTACTTGTGACTTAATGTACGAAGCTGCCAACACCTCGGCGCATAGAGGTCCAATGTTAGAATTATTTAATGATTAATGAATTAGAGAGAATATGGAAGAAAACAATCATGGCCTAATTTAAGACACTAGACCGGCATGTGCCTCGGGGGACTAAGGAAAACTATGAATAATTTCAGTCAGAATTGCCGGTGTTTCTGCTAAAATTCGAACGGTGTTCTCTAGAACATAAATAAAAAGCGTTATCGCTTCAGCCAATTTGCACAGTGGAAGACAATATTAAAACGGATATGAGAAATAAACAGTATGAATGGAATGAAGGATCTGACTCAAGTTAGGATCCATAGGCAGGACATATAGCCTATACCTTATTCTGAACCGAAAACTGCAAGGGAAGAACATTTGGGAGGTCTAAGCGATGATGGGTGGATAATAGTAAAACGGATCTTTAGAAAATGTGATCTGAAGTTATGGCATAGATACCATTAGCTCAAGATATGGTCCAATTGCGGCCCTTAAGCCATAAAAGATTTTACTGGAGAAAGTTAAAGGAAGAAACTGTAGATATGTGTGCGAATAGAAAGGTGAAGCTATCCCTGGGCTTAATTAATTGAACACCACGCAATGAAGGCGTGTAAGGGAGTGGAGGTACAGCTTCACTGCTGCTGCTGCTGACTGACTGACTGACTGACTGACTGACTTCGGTACTAGATGGAGGTGAATGGTCAGTTTCATTCTCCTTCGCTTTACCCCAGGGGAAGCAGCCCCCGGTACCCATTGCATAAGATGCTGAGTGGGATCTAGAGCAGATTTGAAACTAACGAAGTAGAGAAAAAATCTTGCCCTTTTATGGAATCGAACCCCGACTCCTCGGTCGTCCAGCCCTTTTCTAATTTTTTTTATTGCTAGTGGGGTGGGAATAAGTCCCTAGTACTGCGGCCACTTATGGCCTATTGTACCAGCCCCAGATGATAGGTGAGGGTGATTGTGGAGCAATTGGTAGAACGAAGATTGGCAAGGAAAACCGAAGTACTCGCAGAAAACCTGCCCCAGCGCCACTTTTCCCACCACAAATCCCAATTGACCAGACCCGGGATCGAACCCGGGACGCCGCGATGGGAAGCCAGCCACTAACCGCTTGAGCTATGGCGCGGCCTCGTCCAGCCCTTAGCTTAGTCGCTATAGCCACTGAACTGTTGCGGCGCTTATGTGGGGACACAGTACTGAAATAGTATTCTTGAGACATCTTGGAGAGAGAATCTGAAAGAAGCATCGTTAAGTGACGCGAGAAAAGCCACATTACAATACTGATGCCACTTTTATCTGTTTTATGTAGCTGTCCCTGAAGAAATGTCTGCTACTGACTCGATCCCTTTGTGGGGGTCTGATAACCTGAGCAACTGTCGGCTGGTTGTGTAGGTGCTGAGCGCAGTGACGACTTACCTAGCCGCTCATAGGAACGATCGTTTCCCTGCCTCCGCTATTTCGCCTTTCAGGCGTCATATCACATTGTATATAGTCTCTCCTACCGTTATAGTAATGTCAACTTCATACGGTATACCTAATTATTATAAGGAGGATCTGACGACCGAGTAATAGCCATTATACGAGAGACAGTCAGTAAATACGTTACAAATTGATATAAAACGTAAAACATACGACATTTGAACCTGGAAAAAATTGTATTTCTCGACCCAATTGTGAGCAGCTTTACTCGACAAACACTTCCCACCGTAAACAGGAAACTTTTCTTTGCTAATATCCTTTGCATTGATTCCGTTTTCCAACAAAAAGAACGCACAGCACAACGCTGCTCTTTGATAGCACACTCTATCCATCCATCTACCTACCTACCTACCTACCTACCTACCTATCTATCTCCTGAACGTCGCCAAAGTTGCGCACATCCACAAGTTTAAAGAAAACCAAGAGAGGACCCGGTATCAACAATGAAGCACCACAGTAATTCATATATCATATATCGAAATATCATTCTAAAAGCTGTGATCCTTCAGAGCATTGAAAACTACATCCTTCCGCCATCACCGCCAGGAACAATTAACGTAGAGAATCCCGCAGAACATATTCGGATTGGCTTTAAATATTTCTTACTTCGCAGACATTTATAAGACATTTTATGGCGACTATAAGTAAGCTTCACGTGTAGTGACAGATTTCATGCTTAAGTGGAAGATTATTTCCTCAGATTTTGTAAGACGTTTTACATAATTATAATCTAAATATTATTTTTGCAGGATGTAAATACCGGGATCGAAAAAGAAAACCTTTATCTAGTCTAATGGCATGTATAATAGTGATGTACATGACAAATAATTATCATTAGAATTCCCTTAAATGTTCATTTGATTGCATGTTTTTCCCATCTCATTTACACAAAGACTCTTCCTAAACAAGTTTACATTGCTACGGAGCATCTTATTAATTATATTTAATATGCTTCTATACGTATAGATGGCGGAGGAGCGAGGTAACGTATTTAGTTTACGCCCGGTTTCGATTCCCGAGGAAGTCGTTGAAATTTTGTTTACTTAATCCTTCCAGCCTCAGCGTGGCCCTGGACTGAATTCAGCCACTAACAGGAATGAGTACCATGAATCGTCCTAGGGTTAAGTGAAACTGACAATCTCATCTCCATCTGTGGCCCGATAGTCTCGCCGTGTCACAACCTTATGGGCCTCCACGGCCTAGTACAAGGATAACATTACTATTTACAGGTTTCACTGCATATGTAGAAGCGAAGAAGGTTAAGACAGCTTCGAGCACGTGAGAAAGAGAGAGCTACAGCAGAGGAAATGGACGTCCAGGGCAGTCTTGAACGATCAGTGTAGATTACTATGCAGACGCAAACGTAACTTACATAAAAGTAAAAAATTTACAACGTAATATGAGATTTTCTTCTCTTCCAGGTAGTGTCAAAATCCACACCGGCTCTGTGGTCTAATGGTCAGTTCCTGGCTACAGATCCAGAGGTCCCGGGTTCAATTCCCAGACTTACCAGGTTTTCTGAGAAGTAGTGGCTCTGAAACGGCGTCCCCTCAGCCTCGTGAGGTTGATTCAGGAGCCTTTTCAAGGAAATAGAGGCTCCGGTCTAGAAAACCGAGATTAACGACCGTGGGAATTCGTTGGGCTGAAAACGCTACGCCATCTATCCGCTGAAGTTGGCATTAACTTCGCCGACAAGCGGCGGTCGCTGGTCAGTATAGTTCGCTTGCGGACTACAGGCCATGGACTTTAGTGTTTCATAGTGTCATAATTCAGGAGACCGTAATCTGAATCTTCATCGGCTTTTAAATCTTAAAAAGCAGACGGCCATGTTATGAGTGGGATTCAAAATTACGAACTGAGGTTTCTTTAACTATCATCTCCTCTTTCTCCTCCTCCTCATATTCATTTTGTCTCCTTCGCTCTCACTTTCGTTGTCGTTATCGTCTATTTCGTGGTCTGCCCTCCACTAATCATTTACTTACTTACTCATGGAGCTGAGCCCTTCTGGAGGAGCCGCCAATTCTGCAGCTACTCAAGAATTTCCCAGCATTTTGTGGAACCCAAAAGTTCATCACAGTGTTCACAAGAACCCTCCACTGGTCCCTATCCTGAGCCAGATCTATCCAATCCATACCATCACATCCTATCTCTCTAAGATCCATTCTAATATTGTCCACCCACCTACACCTTGGTTTTCCCTGTGGTCTCTTTCCTTCTGTCTTTCCCACCAATATCCTATATGCGTTCCTCGTCTCCCCCATTCGTGCTACATGACCTGCCCACCTCATCCTCCTGGACTTGATCATTTTAATTATACTTGGAGAAGAGTAGAAGTTATGAAGCTCCTCATTATGCAGTTTTCCCCAACTTCCTGTCACTTCATCTCTCTTTGGTCCAAATATTCTTCTCAACACGCTGTTCTCAAACACGCTCAGTCTATGTTCCTCCCTTAATGCCAGAGACGAAGTTTCACACCCATACAGAACCACAGGCAAAATTATAGTTTTGTATAGTCTAAACTTTATGTTTTTGTACAACAGACGGGAAGACAAAAGGTTCTGGACTGAAAGGTAGCCAGCATCACCCAATCATAGGTTTTCTAAATTCCGGATTAGGTTTCGTCAACGTGATTCAGTTCTACTAAATTGTTGTTTTCTCCTTTTGTTCCTTCTCATTCTTGTTTGCACTATTGTTATGTCTTTCTCCTTGTTCCCCATCTCCCTCCTTCTTCTTGACGTTGTAGTCCGGTTCAAATTTCAGACTTTCTTAACGAAACAAATTTTGAAAATTATATTATTCTAGACAATAAGGCTACATAATCAGCGATCCTGCCTTCACAAGACCAGGCCGAATAGCATAAAGAAACATGAAGTGAATGGGATTCGAACTAGTGTGCTTCCAGTGTATAGAGTCCATCGGACCACATAGTCTAAAACCATTTCGTGTAGGTGTTCAGTTTAATCACCCCTGATCTCTGTGACAGCGTTGATAGACAAATGACAGTTATGTTTGAGCTATCTTAATACTTTAGCAGTGCTTTGGGCAATATGTGTTAAGTAAATCTTTTGTCAGTCTTGCTGGCACCAATAATAAATCATGAAGTCATTAGAAACTTGTTAATAACATGAAAATTAACTGCCTCGTCGTTCAAGTTGAAATAGCAAGAGACTCTCGGATCAGAAGTTGCCATAACGACAAGCACAC